GATATTGGCTATAGGGACGTGGTTTCATCCTTTTTTTATTTTTTTATCCCAAATCCATTCGGTGATTTCAATGTGTTGCTGCAGTTATTTTGCTCATATCATTTTGTTTTAAAGGGACAATTGTGTTTATAAGTCTGGTATGTTTTAAAGGAATCACTGTGTAGAATTGCTCAGCTTTATATGATCTTGGGAAAATGAACCCTTCAGCCCGTAGAACCGCCCATGTCCACCAAAGCTTCCGCGCGTGGCCTCCATAGCCCCTGTAGCCTCCGAAGCGGCCGTGACCTCCGAAGCCGTGACCGGAAGCTGAATCCGGGCTCAGCCTCAGCACTCCTCTTCCAGCGTCCGTAGCCATAGCTGCTGTATATGGGTTGGAAGGACACGTGACTAAAGCCGCCATGCCGTATCCGAAGCGGGAAGGATCGGCCTCGGATCAGCCTCAGCTCAGCTACAGGCTCAGCCTCAGCACTCCTCTTCCAGCGTCCGTAGCCATAGCTGCTGTATATGGGTTGGAAGGACACGTGACTAAAGCCGCCATGCCCGTAATCCGAAAGCGGGAAGGATCGGCCTCGGGATCAGCCTCAGCCTCAGCTACAGGCTCAGCCTCAGCGCACTCCTCTTCCAGCGTTCCGTAGCCATAGCTGCTGTATACGGGTTGGAAGGACACGTGACTAAAGCCGCCATGCCCGTATCCGAAGCGGGAAGGATCGGCCTCGGGATCAGCCTCAGCCTCAGCTACAGGCTCAGCTCAGCACTCCTCTTTCAGCGTCCGTAGCCATAGCTGTGACGGGTTGAAGGACCGTGACTAAGCCGCCATGCCCGTATCCGAAGCGGGAAGGATCGGCCTCGGATCAGCCTCAGCCTCAGCTACAGGCTCAGCCTCAGCACTCCTCTTCCAGCGTCCGTAGCCATAGCTGCTGTATACGGGTTGGAAGGACACGTGACTAAAGCCGCCATGCCCGTATCCGAAGCGGGAAGGATCGGCCTCGGCTCAGCCTCAGCACTCCTCTTCAGCGTCCGTAGCCGTAGCTGTGTACACGGGTCTGTAGGACACCACCCCCATGGCCTCCAAAGCCGCCTCCATAGCGGCTGGGCTCAGCATCAGCTTCAGGATCTCCGCTCACACTGACTCCTACAAACGCCACGAGGGCGACAGCGATGGCCTGCAACACAACCACATACTCGTCAGTTCAAGTCTAAACAGAGGTAAGTGTTAGGAAAAGAACTGCCGTTGCTCTTAAACAAAAAATATTGAATCTTGCTTAGCCTTCCCACCTATAACATAAAGGCACAATGGTGCAAAGAGAAGCACTCTTTACCAAAGTCTTCATGTCCACAGGGAATCTCCGGCGACTCTGCCGATGACTCGGCGGCGTCTCCTTATATAGTGGCCGAAACGAAGCCACGCCCACTGCTAGGTTATTTTTGTTTCAGTCTCAAGGCTAAATGAGCGAAGGAATATTGAAAATAGTTTTGCTTCCTTAAATCACATGGTGGACGTTTTAGCAAAAAAAAAAAAAAAAAAAAAAAAAAAAAAAAAAAAAAACTGTCGATATTACCATTGTTTTATTTTCAACATCAGTGTTTCCAGTAAGTGTTATGCCATTTATCATTATTATGAGATTATCATGGTTCTGTATTATTTTCACTAATATCATAATCATAATTTTTCACTTACTTTGATATAATTATGATTATTAGCCATCACAGCTACCATTCCTTTTCCTTTTTTTCCTATATTTTCATTATCAGTATGTTAAACTATACGAATATACATTGCATGTTTGTGGATGAATGTATGTATATATTCATTTATTTATTTATACACATGCATATACTGTATATGTATTTATATACATACATATGTTGGTGTGTACGTATTTATACATATAAAAATATATGTAAGGTATTTAAGAGGACACGGTAATTTTGACAATGGCAAGTAGATTTTACAAATTATCATTTATGTGGTGACGTCATTTTGCTCCGCCCCATTTTCACTTCTGTCAATCTGTGCGATATATTATGTGTTTCTTCAGTATATTCTATTTTGACATTTGTCATTTAATGACAATGGTAAACAAATGCGAAACAAAATATGGAACGAAATGGAAAAATGAAATCCTATCAGTATGCAATATATGATATATAAATATATATATATATATATATATATATATATATATATATATATATATATATACCATATCTATATGTATATATGTATGTACATATGTATGCTGTATATGAATATGTATATATATATATTTCCTTTTCTAACTATACATATAAATACATATATACATACATATATATGTATATACATACAGACATGTATATATATGTATATATGTGTATATGCATTAGAGCATATATATGTATATATATTGAAACAAATATATATTTAAGAACATATAAGTACATATGCAAATTCTGTGTGAGTGACTATGTGTAATTATGCACCAACTTGATGCAATGTTGAGCCGTATTATGCGAGCTCCTCTGGAGCTAAGTTGAATAATTTCATATGTTAATTTTTCCTTAGATTAACATTTTATTAAACTAACCATATATGTATGCACACACACATATATGGTGTGTGTGTGTGTGTGTGCGTGTTTACGTGTGAAGTGTATGTGAAAATCTTCTAGCACTTGGAAATTTCGCTATTCTGTCGGAGTCTTGCTACAGTGATTCTGCCCCTTCCGGTTGTTCAAAGGGACAACTGTTCACTGTTGTATAAAGGGATACTTGCTCACAAATATTTGGCATGTTTAAAGGAATCACTGCGTAGAATTGCTCAGCTTTATTGATCTTGGGAAAAAGGAATCCTTCAGCCGTAGAAACGCCCATGTCCACCAAAGCTTCCGCCGTGGCCTCCATAGCCCCTGTAGCCTCCGAAGCGGCCGTGACCTCCGAAGCCGTGACCGAAGCTGAATCCGGGCTCAGCCTCAGCACTCCTCTTCCAGCGTCCGTAGCCATAGCTGCTGTATACGGGTTGGAAGGACACGTGACTAAAGCCGCCATGCCCGTATCCGAAGCGGGAAGGATCGGCCTCGGGCTCAGCCTCAGCCTCAGCTACAGGCTCAGCACTCCTCTTCCAGCGTCCGTAGCCATAGCTGCTGTACGGGTTGAAGGACACGTGACTAAAGCCGCCATGACCGTATCCGAAGCGGGAAGGATCGGCCTCGGGCTCAGCCTCAGCTACAGGCTCAGCACTCCTCTTCCAGCGTCCGTAGCCATAGCTATTGTACACGGGTCTGTAGGACACACCCCCATGGCCTCCAAAGCCGCCTCCATATCGGCTGGGCTCAGCATCAGCTTCAGGATCTCCGCTCACACTGACTCCTACAAACGCCACGAGGGCGACAGCGATGGCCTGCAACACAACCACATACTCGTCAGTTCAAATCTGTCAATGACACCTTGGAATATATGCAAGTAATTAAATAGAGGTAATGGTGGGTGGGAAAAGAACTATAAATGCCTTTGAACTGAAAAATAATACTGAATTTTGCAGCCATAACATAAATGACAATGCCACAAAAGGAAACATGCTATTTACCAAAGTCTTCATGTCCACAGGGAATCTCCGGCGGCTCTGCCGATGACTCGGCGGCGTCTCCTTATATAGTGGCCGAGACGAAGCCACCCACTGCCGGGTTATTTCTGCTTCAGTCCCAAGGTTAAATTAATAAAATCTGCAGATGCTTGAGCAATTTTGAAGATAGTATTTTTCCTTGACTCAAGTGGATCATATTTTAGGAAAAATCCTTTTACATTCCCATTGATTTGCTCTTTGCTGTATGAAATACGTGTACGAATGCACAGATTATCAGATTTAGCCATGTTTATTTTTTATTATATTTAGTATTTATATTTTATTCATATAGATATCATGGGAATGGAACTGCTATTATAGAATCGTTATTGTAATGAAGTACGTATAGATACTAACAATATATATATATATATATATATAATATATATATATATATATATATATATATATATATATATATATATATAATCGGTGTTTCCGGTAGCAGTTGTATGCCCCTCAGCATTATCATCAGATTGTAATCACGGTTATTAATTATTATCATACATATAAACGTAATGATTATCATTAAGCTACTATGATCACGCTTGGGAACTGTTATTACCACAATAGTCATCAAAATATTCCTTTGATATCATTATTAATATGTTAACCATATACTTGATATGATATACATATGTGCGTGTGCATATTTATATATACATAAAAGTTATTTGAAGGAATAAGTAGCACCACTTCCACTTAGCCTGTTAACTTTTTCTTGGAGTATACTGACAACTGTTTATACTATGAGATACTTTTTTATTATGGAAGAATTGTTGGTGTTGCTTTACTTCTGGTGATTATGGCACTAAATAGTAAACTTCACAAACAATCCTTCGTCTGATTTCATCACGGGGCAGGCTCATTGGCTAAACGTGGTGCCAGCTTGCTCCGCCCCATTTCCACTCTTGTCAGTCTATGCGATAGATTATGATAAGAATTTCATTATATTTTGCTTTGACAATCTTTTATTAATGACAAAGATTAGATCGGAATGAAAGAGAAATACAGGCTATAAAAAGACACAAGAATATTTGCAATGTATGATGGAAAAGGGATAGGGCTTGGCTGAGCAGTTGCTGTTAGTGTGTGTACAATTTATGTCAATAAATACATATATGTATGTTTGTTCGTGTGTTTATTCATGCGTCATCATGTGAGTTTGCCCCATCGCTAAGGTCACCTTTGATAAGCTCAATTATAACTCCCATGATTAACTCTTGAATTTATCATAAGAATAAGGACTCAACATTTATTATGATGCATCATTTATCACCATTTCTCCTTTGCTGTATGCCTATTTTTCGTTTTGCTTGAAAATCGGATTGTACTTTGCTCTGGACAACGATGATACAGTGTTGAACATTATTATGCGAGCTCTTCTCGAACCAAGTTGAATAGATTCATCTACTTGCTTTTTTTATAATAACATTTCATATTCATCTAGTCATATGTATGTGTGTGTGTGGGCACACACGCAGGTGTGTAATGTATGTATATATCTACATATATATACTTTCTGAAAAGATATTAGCGCTAGGACGTGGTTTTTTTTTTTTTTTTTTTTTTTATCCAAAATCCATTCGGTTTCAATGTTTGCTGCAGTGATTTTGTTCCTTCATTTTGTTTAAAGGGACAATTGTGTTTATAAGTCTGGTATGTTTAAAGGAATCACTGTGTAGAATTGCTCAGCTTTATTGATCTTGGGAAAGAACCCTTCAGCCGTAGAAACGCCCATGTCCACCAAAGCTTCCGCCGTGGCCTCCATAGCCCCTGTAGCCTCCGAAGCGGCCGTGACCTCCGAAGCCGTGACCGAAGCTGAATCCGGGCTCAGCCTCAGCACTCCTCTTCCAGCGTCCGTAGCCATAGCTGCTGTATACGGGTTGGAAGGACACGTGACTAAAGCCGCCATGCCCGTATCCGAAGCGGGAAGGATCGGCCTCGGGATCAGCCTCAGCCTCAGCTACAGGCTCAGCCTCAGCACTCCTCTTCCAGCGTCCGTAGCCATAGCTGCTGTATACGGGTTGGAAGGACACGTGACTAAAGCCGCCATGCCCGTATCCGAAGCGGGAAGGATCGGCCTCGGGCTCAGCCTCAGCTACAGGTTCAGCACTCCTCTTCCAGCGTCCGTAGCCGTAGCTGCTGAACACGGGCCTGAAGGACACGTGACTAAAGCACCCGTATCCGAAGCGGGAAGGATCGGCTTCGGGATCAGCCTCAGCCTCAGCTACAGGCTCAGCACTCCTCTTCCAGCGTCCGTAGCCGTAGCTATTGTACACGGGTCTGTAGGACACTACCCCATGGCCTCCAAAGCCGCCTCCATAGCGGCTGGGCTCAGCATCAGCTTCAGGATCTCCGCTCACACTGACTCCTACAAACGCCACGAGGGCGACAGCGATGGCCTGCAACACAACCACATACTCGTCAGTTCAAATCTGTCAATGACACCTTGGAATATATGCAAGTAATTAAATAGAGGTAATGGTGGGTGGGAAAAGAACTATAAATGCCTTTGAACTGAAAAATAATACTGAATTTTGCAGCCATAACATGAGTGACAATGCCACAAAAGGAAACATGCTATTTACCAAAGTCTTCATGTCCACAGGGAATCTCCGGCGGCTCTGCCGATGACTCGGCGGCGTCTCCTTATATAGTGGCCGAGACGAAGCCACGCCCACTGCCGGGTTATTTCTACTTCAGTCCCAAGGTTAAATTAATAAAATCTGCAGATGCTTGAGCAATTTTGAAGATAGTATTTTTCCTTGACTCAAGTGGATCATATTTTAGGAAAAATCCTTTTACATTCCCATTGATTTGCTCTTTGCTGTATGAAATACGTGTACGAATGCACAGATTATCAGATTTAGCCATGTTTATTTTTATTATATTTAGTATTCATATTTATTCATATAGATATCATGTGAATGGAACTGCTATTATAGAATCGTTATTGTACTGAAGTACGTCAATAGATACTACTATATATATATATATATATATATATATATATATATATATATATATATATATATATTATATATAATAATCGGTGTTTCCGGTAGCAGTTGTATGCCCTCAGCATTATCATGATTGTAATCACGGTTATTAATTATTATCATACATATAAACGTAATGATTATCATTAAGCTACTATGATCACGCTTGGGAACTGTTATTACCACAATAGTCATCAAAATATTCCTTGATATCATTATTAATATGTTAACCATATACTTGATATGATATACATATAGGCGTGTGCATATTTATATATACATAAAAGTTATTTGAAGGAATAAGTAGCACCACTTCCACTTAGCCTGTTAACTTTTTCTTAGAGTATACTGACAACTGTTTATACTATGAGATACTTTTTTATTATGGAAAGAATTGTTGAAGTGTTGCCTTACTTCTGGTGATTAGGACACTAAATAGTAAACTTCACAAACAATCCTTCGTCTGATTTCATCACGGGGCAGGCTCATTGGCTAAACGTGGTGCCAGCTTGCTCCGCCCCATTTCCACTCTTGTCAGTCTATGCGATAGATTATGATAAGAATTTCATTATATTTGCTTTGACAATCTTTTATTAATGACAAAGATTAGATCGGAATGAAAGAGAAATACAGGCTATAAAAAGACACAAAGAATATTTGCAATGTATGATGGAAAAGGGATAGGGCTTGGCTGAGCAGTTGCTGTTAGTGTGTGTACAATATGTCAATAAATACATATATGTATGTTTGTTCGTGTGTTTATTCATGAGTCATCATGTGAGTTTGCCCCATCGCTAAGGTCACCTTTGATAAGCTCAATTATAACTCCCATGATTAACTCTTGAATTTATCATAAGAATAAGGACTCAACATTTATTATGATGCATCATTTATCACCATTTCTCCTTTGCTGTATGCCTATTTTTCGTTTTGCTTGAAAATCGGATTGTACTTTGCTCTGGACAACGATGATACAGTGTTGAACATTATTATGCGAGCTCTTCTCGAACCAAGTTGAATAGATTCATCTACTTGCTTTTTTATAATAACATTTCATATTCATCTAGTCATATGTATGTGTGTGTGTGGGCACACACGCAGGTGTGTAATGTATGTATATATCTACATATATACTTTCTGAAAAGATATTAGCGCTAGGACGTGGTTTCATCTTTTTTTTTTTTTTTTTTTTATCCAAAATCCATTCGGTTTCAATGTTTGCTGCAGTGATTTTGTTCCTTCATTTTGTTTAAAGGGACAATTGTTTTATAAGTCTGGTATGTTTAAAGGAATCACTGTGTAGAATTGCTCAGCTTTATTGATCTTGGGAAAAATGAACCCTTCAGCCGTAGAAACGCCCATGTCCACCAAAGCTTCCGCCGTGGCCTCCATAGCCCCTGTAGCCTCCGAAGCGGCCGTGACCTCCGAAGCCGTGACCGAAGCTGAATCCGGGCTCAGCCTCAGCACTCCTCTTCCAGCGTCCGTAGCCATAGCTGCTGTATACGGGTTGGAAGGACACGTGACTAAAGCCGCCATGCCCGTATCCGAAGCGGGAAGGATCGGCCTCGGGATCAGCCTCAGCCTCAGCTACAGGCTCAGCACTCCTCTTCCAGCGTCCGTAGCCGTAGCTGTTGTACACGGGTCTGTAGGACACCACCCCATGGCCTCCAAAGCCGCCTCCATAGCGGCTGGGCTCAGCATCAGCTTCAGGATCTCCGCTCACACTGACTCCTACAAACGCCACGAGGGCGACAGCGATGGCCTGCAACACAACCACATACTCGTCAGTTCAAGTCTAAACAGAGGTAAGTGTTAGGAAAAGAACTGCCGTTGCTCTTAAACAAAAAAATTGAATCTTGCTTAGCCTTCCCACCTATAACATAAAGGCACAATGGTGCAAAGAGAAGCACTCTTTACCAAAGTCTTCATGTCCACAGGGAATCTCCGGCGACTCTGCCGATGACTCGGCGGCGTCTCCTTATATAGTGGCCGAAACGAAGCCACGCCCACTGCTAGGTTATTTTTGTTTCAGTCTCAAGGCTAAATGAGCGAAGGAATATTGAAAATAGTTTTGCTTCCTTAAATCACATGGTGGACGTTTTAGCACAAAAAAAAAAAAAAAAAAAAAAAAAAAAAACTGTCGATATTACCATTGTTTTATTTCCAACATCAGTGTTTCCAGTAAGTGTTATGCCATTTATCATTATTATGAGATTATCATGGTTCTGTATTATTTTCACTAATATCATAATCATAATTTTTACTTACTTTGATATGATTATGATTATTAGCCATCACAGCTACCATTCCTTTTCCTTTTTTTCCTATATTTTCATTATCAGTATGTTAAACTATACGAATATACATTGCATGTTTGTGGATGAATGTATGTATATATTCATTTATTTATTTATACACATGCATATACTGTATATGTATTTATTATACATATGTTGGTGTGTACGTATATTTATACATATAAAATATATGTAAGGTATTTAAGAGGACACGGTAATTTTGACACACGCGTGCAAACAGGCCGGGGTAGTGTCGTGGTCAGCTCGAAATTGAAATCCTATCAATAGTCATATTCAACTGGTGCTATATATACCTATATATAATATATATATCCGTCATATATATATATATATATATATATATAATGTATATATATATATATATATATATATGCGGTGTATATGTATATGGTATACATATATCATCATTATACAAATAATATATTGACATGTACAAAATGCCGTGATGCAATGTGTGAGCCGTATTATGCGAGCTCCTCTGGAGCTAAGTTGAATAATTTCATATGTTAATTTTTCCTTAGATTAACATTTTATTAAACTAACCATATATGTATGCACACACACACGCATATGCACACATATATATGTGTGTGTGTGTGTGTGTGTGTGCGTGTTTACGTGTGAAGTCTATCTGAAAATCTTTTAGCACGGAAATTTCGCTGTTTTCCAAAGGCTATTCTGTCGGAGTCTTGCTACAGTGATTCTGCCCCTTCCGGTTGTTCAAAGGGACAACTGTTCACTGTTGTATAAAGGGATACTTGCTCACAAATATTTGGCATGTTTAAAGGAATCACTGCGTAGAATTGCTCAGCTTTATTGATCTTGGAAAAAAAGAATCCTTCAGCCGTAGAAACGCCCATGTCCACCAAAGCTTCCGCCGTGGCCTCCATAGCCCCTGTAGCCTCCGAAGCGGCCGTGACCTCCGAAGCCGTGACCGAAGCTGAATCCGGGCTCAGCCTCAGCACTCCTCTTCCAGCGTCCGTAGCCATAGCTGCTGTACGGGTTGGAAGGACACGTGACTAAAGCGCCATGCCCGTATCCGAAGCGGGAAGGATCGGCCTCGGGCTCAGCCTCAGCCTCAGCTACAGGCTCAGCACTCCTCTTCCAGCGTCCGTAGCCATAGCTGCTGTACACGGGCCTGAAGGACACGTGACTAAAGCCGCCATACCCGTATCCGAAGCGGGAAGGATCGGCCTCGGGCTCAGCCTCAGCCTCAGCTACAGGCTCAGCACTCCTCTTCCAGCGTCCGTAGCCATAGCTATTGTACACGGGTCTGTAGGACACCACCCCATAGCCTCCAAAGCCGCCTCCATATCGGCTGGGCTCAGCATCAGCTTCAGGATCTCCGCTCACACTGACTCCTACAAACGCCACGAGGGCGACAGCGATGGCCTGCAACACAACCACATACTCGTCAGTTCAAATCTGTCAATGACACCTTGGAATATATGCAAGTAATTAAATAGAGGTAATGGTGGGTGGGAAAAGAACTATAAATGCCTTTGAACTGAAAAAAATATACTGAATTTTGCAGCCATAACATAAATGACAATGCCACAAAAGGAAACATGCTATTTACCAAAGTCTTCATGTCCACAGGGAATCTCCGGCGGCTCTGCCGATGACTCGGCGGCGTCTCCTTATATAGTGGCCGAGAAAGCCACGCCCACTGCCGGGTTATTTCTACTTCAGTCCCAAGGTTAAATTAATAAAATCTGCAGATGCTTGAGCAATTTTGAAGATAGTATTTTTCCTTGACTCAAGTGGATCATATTTAAGGAAAAATCCTTTTACATTCCCATTGATTTGCTCTTTGCTGTATGAAATACGTGTACGAATGCACAGATTATCAGATTTAGCCATGCTTATTTTTATTATATTTAGTATTTATATTTATTCATATAGATATCATGGGGAATGGAACTGCTATTATAGAATCGTTATTGTAATGAAGTACGTGTATAGATACTACCAACATATATATATATATATATATATATATATATATATATATATATATATAATATATATATATATATATATATATATCGGTGTTTCCGGTAGCAGTTGTATGCCCTCAGCATTATCATCAGATTGTAATCACGGTTATTAATTATTATCATACATATAAACGTAATGATTATCATTAAGCTACTATGATCACGCTTGGGAACTGTTATTACCACAATAGTCATCAAAATATTCCTTTGATATCATTATTAATATGTTAACCATATACTTGATATGATATACATATATGCGTGTGCGTATTTATATATACATAAAAGTTATTTGAAGGAAGTAGCACCACTTCCACTTAGCCTGTTAACTTTTTCTTGGAGTATACTGATAACTGTTTATACTATGAGATACTTTTTTATTATGGAAGAATTGTTGGTGTTGCTTTACTTCTGGTGATTATGGCACTAAATAGTAAACTTCACAAACAATCCTTCGTCTGATTTCATCACGGGGCAGGCTCATTGGCTAAACGTGGTGCCAGCTTGCTCCGCCCCATTTCCACTCTTGTCAGTCTATGCGATAGATTATGATAAGAATTTCATTATATTTGCTTTGACAATCTTTTATTAATGACAAAGATTAGATCGGAATGAAAGAGAAATACAGGCTATAAAAAGACACAAAGAATATTTGCAATGTATGATGGAAAAGGGATAGGGCTTGGCTGAGCAGTTGCTGTTAGTGTGTGTACAATATGTCAATAAATACATATATGTATGTTTGTTCGTGTGTTTATTCATGCGTCATCATGTGAGTTTGCCCCATCGCTAAGGTCACCTTTGATAAGCTCAATTATAACTCCCATGATTAACTCTTGAATTTATCATAAGAATAAGGACTCAACATTTATTATGATGCATCATTTATCACCATTTCTCCTTTGCTGTATGCCTATTTTTCGTTTTGCTTGAAAATCGGATTGTACTTTGCTCTGGACAACGATGATACAGTGTTGAACCATTATTATGCGAGCTCTTCTCGAACCAAGTTGAATAGATTCATCTACTTGCTTTTTTTATAATAACATTTCATATTCATCTAGTCATATGTATGTGTGTGTGTGGGCACACACGCAGGTGTGTAATGTATGTATATATCTACATATATATACTTTCTGAAAAGATATTAGCGCTAGGACGTGGTTTCATCTTTTTTTTTCTTTTTTTTTATCCAAATTCCCATTCGGTTTTCAAAGTTTTGCTGCAGTTATTTTTTTGGTCTTCATTCA